AGTCATTTTAATATTAAAAGATCTTTTATAAAAAAATTTACCAAACAACTTTTCATTCTACAAGTACGTTTATAAAAAATTTTACCAAACACTTCTAACTTCTTAAAAACAGCCCTTTTACAACAAATTCTCTCTAACAGAACTTCCATTAAAAACTCCAACCATACCAAACAGGCTCTTACTATTTTTTCAAGATATATATTTTCTACTTTACTTCAATAATCAATGAGAAAAACTAAAATGGATCATTTTGGGAGACCGTGGGAAAGAAATATTTACAGCCTTCATATTCCTATCTAGATTTGTCATATTGAGTTCTAGGTGTTGGGTTGCTGCATTCTTGCACTCCTTTCGTGCAAACACTTTTTTTTTTTTTTTCAGATAAAAAAAATTTCCATATATTAAATCAGAATCAAATTTAAAATAAATTGACATAAGAACCTAAATGGTCAAAGTGATAATGTCATTTTAGTAGTGGTAAGAAGTTTTGGGTTCAATTGACGTGATAAATAAGTGTGATGTGTATTAATTGATGAGAGAAAATTGTTTTCTATTTTGCAACAAATAACAATTTTTGGGACCAAATTTTAGTATGAAATTTTGAAAGGTTAAATGCTAAATTTGGTCCCTCAACTTTATTGAGTTGCACATTTTTGGTCCCTCAACAAATTTTTGCACTTTTTTGATCCCTCAACTAGACGAAATGCACTCCGTTAGTCCTTCCGTCAATTTCGACCGTTAACTCCGCCATGTGGCATTTTTTATATTTTTTTTGATGATATGGATAGTCCAACTGGAAAAAAATGATGACAAGGATCGTCCAACTAAAAAAAATGATGACATGAAGATAAATTTTTATATTTTTAATAAAAAAAATAAAAAAACCCTCTCCCCTGTTTTCTTCCCCTTCTTTCTTTCTCTTTCTTCTTCCTCCTCCTGCTGCCTCCTCTGTTGACCGAACCTTGCCAAGCTAAGGTCCTCCCCCCTTTTTCTCTTCTTCCCCCTCTTGCTTTCTCTTTCTTCCTCCTCATACTGTGATCTGCCAAACCTTCTTCACCCTTTGTCTTTCTTCCTCCTTCGGCTACTGGGTTCATTTGAACCCAGAACGTTGGGTTCGTTTGAACCCAGATTCGGGTTCTGCGAAACCCAACTCTCTGGGTTCGTTTAACCCAGATCGTTGGGTTCCACAGAACCCGGATCTGGGTTCGTTTGAACCCAGTTTTGGGTTCCATGGAACCCAACAATCTGGGTTCGTTTAACCCAGATCGCTGAGTTCCATAAAACCCGAATCTGGGTTAGTTTGAACCCAGTTATGGGTTCCATAGAACCCAACAATCTGGGTTTTGCGAAACCCAAGAATCTAGGTTCGTTTAACCCAAATCATTGGGTTCTACAGAGCTCGAATTTGGGTTAAGTAACAAACCCAGTTCTGGGTTCCATGGAACCCAGCAACATAAGTTCAAGGAATTTGAATTTCTGGGTTTTCAAACTCATGTTTATAGATTTTTTTTGTTTAGTAACTCTAGCAATTTCTATGCATATATTGAACTCTTTTGTTTGATAGATTTTTGTTTCAAATATTGTGGTTGTGGGATGGTAATTTAGTATTATGAATGCTGTAAATTTTGTTTGTATGTTTTGATTTGGCTATTTCTCTTGTGAGTATATGATCATTAGGTTGGATTGAAGTAGTATGAATTTTTAAGGTTTTGATTTTGTTTTGAGAAAGCAAGAGGGGAAGAAGAGAAAGAGGGAGGAGAAGGTTTGGTGGATCTTAGCTTTGCTGGGTTCGGCCAGCAAAGGAGGCAGCAACAGAAGGAGGAAGAAAGAGAAAGAAAGAGGAGGAAGAAGATAGGTCGAAGAGGTTTTTTATATTTTTATTAAAAATATAAAAATTTATCTCCATGTCATCATTTTTTTTAGTCGAACGATCCTTGTCATCATTTTTTTCCAGTTGGACTATCCATATCATCAAAAAAAATATAAAAAATGCCACATGGTAGAGTTAACGGCCGAAATTGACAGAAGGACTAACGGAGTGCATTTCGTATAGTTGAGGGATTAAAAAAGTGCAAAAATTTGTTGAGGGACCAAAAATGTGCAACTCAATAAAGTTGAGGGACCAAATTTAGCATTTAACCTTTTTTATTTTATGTATTTTAACAATTAATAATATAATATTTAAAATTTTAATAATAATAATTAATAAATTAACTATATATATATATTTTTCAAAACCCAGGGGGGGCCACCGCCCCCCCGATCTAAACGTGACTCCGCCCCTGCTTTCCAGTTAGTCCTCTTGCTACCTTCTTTTATGTCCTTCAACATATTCGTCCATGGCCTAATGTTCACCTCTGCCCTGTGTCAAGGAACGTGTTTGAGATCAATACTAGATAACTGATGCAAACCAAGTGGGGATTAAAAATTGATGTGATATATTAATTACTAGCCCCAGAAGGCCAGAAGCACCAATCAGGGAAGACGATATCCAAGCTCCCTTCATCGGAGCAGTAGCGGAACAAGGGTGGGGGGCAGGCTTTTGGACCTCGAAAGTTCCGGCAGGGGATCACGGGAAGATCACCACATTCAAACATCATGTCCAAGTCGGGCAATCTTCCAGGGTACCATCTCAGAAGCTGTAGGATTCCCCGCAAAGAAAACACATCCCTAGTCTCATAACACCCCATGTACTTTTGTAAATAGGCCTTCCACTTCACAATGACCAGCCTGAAATTTGAGGACTTTCGTGCCAGTTCCACCATGTCTTTGGTGACTCCGGTCTCCCTCCACGGCCTTAGATCCTCATGGATCCACCGGAAGTATGATGGACACATGATACCAGATAAATTGTCAGGATTAGTGACATTGTCTGTGGTGGTGAGGTACGTACTTTGATATTGGACATGTAATTTTTGTTTGATTTTCGCAATTCAGGGGATTCGAGAGGGTTTGTTGCTGTACCGAAAAAACCTAAGTAAAATATAGACTGTAAAATAGAAATCAGAAAATCAGACAGATTATAAGCTTAATTTCTAAGAAAACAAAAAGAAAGATATTATTTGGTATACATACACATACTCACAACATCAAACCAACCCATGAAGGCCGAAAGAACAACGAAGACGAGGAGAAAGATGACAGTGGTGACGGTAGTGTTCCCACTGGTGGGCCGCCATTGCCAGAGGCTGCTCTGATTCATTCACCGTTTTGTTGTGTCTTAATTAGAATACAAAGACTCTACAGCTAGACGTTGGTTTGTCAAGGATTAGTAGTCCTTAATTTACGTTTGGGATAAGTGCATCAGTGTGAAAATTAAGTATATGAATTTTAATGTAAAATTTATATTTAATTTAAAATTAATTGATAATAAATGATAATTGACAATAAGTGGTGGAAGTCCACAATGAATATCAGGTTCCCTTACATGGAGGTTAATATCAATTTCAGGTCTTGTAAAATAAGCTAACAATGAATTTTTCAAAAACAGAACTTGAGTTTTGATACTGTGTAAAAATTAAGTTTTTGACTTTTAACATAAAATTTATATTTAATTTAAAATTAATTGATAATAAATAATGTAACATTCTTTTTATTTAATTCATATACTTCATTTTTACATACTCAATATAAGATTTTCTCATTCAACACTTTTCTTTATGTCTTACGTTCTGTTCTGTGACTAAATAATTAGAATGCTTTATCAATTAAAATGTTAAAAATGAGAATAATAATGATAATGATTAGTTGAATATATAAGAAACGCTTA